CCTACAGTGGCCTCACGCTATGTAACGTGTGCCCAGCATTGCTGTAATGACAAAACCTTCTCATAGGCAAATAACTGGCAGGGCATTCTTTCAGCTTTTACCATCTATAGCTGACTTTTCCATTTAAAGGGATTTTAAAGGCAGGCCTGTCTTGGTCAAATGGTGAGTGAGCTGCACAGAGGAGGGGTGCCTCTCTTGCCTCCAGTTGATTTAAAATGTAGAACCCAAGAGCTGCTGTTGGTTTTCCTGCAGACAGGCTTGCCCAGTTCATGTGCTCCCTGGCCGGAGCTGGAGGTGACGAGGAGCAACCCCAGGCAGCGCCTTGGCCCTGAAGGGTCCCTGCCTCCTCCACGGCTTCGCCAGCCTTTCCCCTTGTGTGGTGAAGCTTCATTTTTTCATATTAACATTTTTCTTTAGGCATTGCACAGGAGTAAACCTCTCATAAGCAATAGCAGTCTAAGAAAAACAAAGCTGAAGGGGTAGCCAGTGCTAAGCTCTACAGTAGACACACATGGAAATGCAAAAGCTTGTAAAATTTCTCCATGATCTTCCTTTCAGCTGTTAAAGTCATTTTACTTCAGCTGTTTTGTCCAAAAAGGTCTTCCCATATTGGACAAACCCTTGAAAAAGTTACTTAATCACTGTAAAAAGGTCCAGCCTCCTGAAAAATTTCGTCCTCTTCCACCAAAGATGACCTGAATCCTGTGTGCATGTCATCAAGTGACAGACGGTGCTTTATGACTAAAATATTTTCTTAATGAGGCCAGAAATACTTGTTATTTAAGCCAAAGTATTTCTTTAACTTTTCAGGATGATAGAAAAGCTTTGAGTTTTACCTGACACGCCGTGAACCAAGAGGTCCACTTTCCAGCTACTCTGTCATTAATTTGATCAGTAACCATTCAAGAAAAATCAAAATAGGCTTTCAAAACATGCTGGTATCACATGCTTGTAGTGCATCTGCTGCAAACTACTATTGGGAATAAAAAGCTTGATTTTTCACTCAGTATGTGTCTTTTAACAGATACATACCTGCCAGAAGAGAACTATGATATGAAATTACGGGGTCACATTTTCAACTGCCCTAAATTAGTCTAGATGCCGTGAAATCAGAGCAGCCCTTTCAGTGTACTGCAGTTGCTCTTAAAAACATCGTTTTGAACTGCAACGCTTAGTTGCAAAAGCACTCGTGCAATAAACGGGAAGGTTTCATTGCCGCTTGAGGGAGCTCAAAGGTAACGCATGGCCATGCAGATCACCTTGAGTTTCGTAAGGCGCATAAATAAAGGGAGGTAGTTTCTACACACAGATAAAAGGAATAACTTGGGAAAGCAGAGTGAAAGCCTGTGCATGGAATATAAAAAAAATGAAGTCTTCTTCCTGGCTAACTAGCCCAATAAACTACAATAGTCTCATATCCGTTTCAAACCAATCCAGTGTGTAACTCATCTGGGCAGTGACACGATGCCAGCGCTTTGACAAAAGGATCCCCTAAAAACACTCACGCAGCTTTTGGTCAGTTCCATCCGTGAGGATATTTAACAGAAGATCTGGTAAAGCAGATTTTGTCTCCTAAGTCTCAAAAAGGTTTTCTAGCTCAATAATCAAAGTAACAGGCAAAACCATATAGTGAGTAAACATATTAAACTGCAATTTCTGATTTAGGGTGTTAATATTATGGCCAGATCAGCTGTGTATGGCAGTCAGAAGAATGGAAGTGAAAAGCTTTCAACGCCCCTAGGGATGTCCTCACCAAAGCTCTTGTTTGGTTGACTTCAATTAATCAATTGACTGCCACAAAAAATTCTGCAATCTTTCTGGCTGGCTTGTGGGTCAGGATTTTGTCCCGGGTACTTTTGTTGCAGTGTTTTGTACACAAAAGACAAAAAAAATGCACTCTGCAAAAGTGTTTTTGAGAGCTTCTGACAGCCGTGACCGATCATCTCTGCCAAGTACGATGACAAAGGATTCCTGGAAAAATCAGGAAGAAAAAAATCCGTGAAGAATATGATCCTGACTCTGCTAACGTACCAGTAGGATTTTAAGCGCTGTGTTCCCATCTCTTGTTTCATTTTAGTTTATGTAAATCTCTGTGGCATTGCAGTCCAAGTCTGCCACTACTGCATCAATCTGTCACAGAAACATAAAAAGACAGCATCTCCTTCCTTTTCCTGGTAAAACAGTGAAACAAGGCCAGGGCAGCACATATGACCTCAGAGACTGAATACTGTTTACTTATCTCTATTTTTTTAATTTAAACTAAAGAATTCTGGATTTGTCTTTCTTACGCCGGTCCTTACCCAAATGAGCTGTGTTACCCTGAAAATTTCATGGTTTCGTAGTGTCTTGCTTTTTCTTGTCTTCTCGTCTGCCTGCTCGTGAGACACCAGAGATTCAGCTGCATTCACTTATTCTATGATTTCCTAAGAAACAGAAGCACGAGTGTTAACATCCGCTCTGCCATTATCACCACTCTCCCATCCTCCATTACTATCATACAAAAATATGCAAAGATGGAAGGATTCAGCTATTTAAGCTATTTTAAAAGCTAGCTAAACCATTTACAAATTACCACCTTATGTTACTGTTACGCAGGTTCCACTGAGCATAATTAATTCGATATAAAAGTAGTAAATGTGGTGGTGGTGGGAGGATTCTTCACATGGAAGAATCATTCTTCACAGCCATGGCAGGCTCCAGTACAACAAAGGGTTTCTGTGCTTTGATTCATCCTTGAGGGAGTTTTGATAAACCTGAAACACATGCAATTTTATTCTATTTCTTTTCAAAGATGTCAGTGGGTTTCTCATGTTATTGTCAAGGCTGTGTCCTTAAATATTTCAGATTAAACAAGGCTAGGTTTGTATTTTATTTTGTTTGGTATAACATAGGACTGTTTATAGTAGAGTAAGAAATTACACTCATGTATCCGGAGTATTTAACAGGAGAAATAATAATATTTTTCCGTTTACTATTTCAAAATACTCCCCATGCCACCCTTTTCTTCCCAGTCACTCCCATCTTCACCTTGGATGTGACCTTGCTGTGCATAAAGCTTAATGGCTGCAATGTGCAGCGTGAGTTAAGTCTCAGATGACGCTCAAATGTATTGCAGGTGAGTGTTTATGTCAAATAAATACAGTAGATTGCTCTTAAACTCATACTTTAGAATGTTTATTACAGATGCAATTTCTGTCTTAACATAAATCAAAGTACTTAAAGTGCCATATGATACCAAACGCGTAGTTTAACAGCATAAAATTGAGCAAAAACTGTGTAAAGTACTTTATAGGGGCTATAAAATTCTTGTGCTTGTGGTCTCACCTTTTTGCATCGCCCAGCTCCATCACGTCCAGTGGGTAGTAAATACTCACGTGAAACAACAATTAGCTTTCAGAGTTTACTTCTTCCAACTTATCCCTGTCTTCAGCGAAGATCCTTCAAAATATGACAGAATCGCAAAGGAGCAGGACCTGCATCTAGCATGATTAAATTTACTTCACTGGGAGTAGATTATTATCCAGTCTTTGAAAGAAAAATCTTGTGCTTTGCCTGCAATGTAGATTAGCAACCTATTATGAAAGATCTGCCATACATAGGCATGCTAACACTTTTTTAATAACTTCATGTGGCGAGGAATGTGTTATTATAAAGCTCTCCATGTCCTGTACTCTTCCTGTGTTGCTCAAATATTGTTAGACTTGTGTACAGTCACAGAATCACAGAATGTCAGGAGTTGGAAGGGACCTCGAAAGCTCATCCAGTCCAACCCCTGCCAGAGCAGAATCACCAGAGCAGTCACACAGGAACACGGCCAAGTGGGTTTTGAATGTCTGCAGAGAAGGAGACTCCACAACCTCTCTGGGCAGCCTGGGCCATGCTCTGCCACCCTCACCCTGACAAAGTTTTTCCTTATATTCAAATTGAACCTCCTATGCTCCAGCTTGGGACCATTGCCCCTTGTCCTGGCATTGGACATCACTGAGCAGAGCCTGGCTCCTTCCTCCTGACACTCGCCCTTTCCAAATGGATCCTCATGAATGAGGTCACCCCTCAGTCTCCTCTGCTCCAAGCTAAAGAGCCCCAACTCTCTCAGCCGCTCCTCATCAGGAGATGCTCCACTCCCTCCATCATCTTTGTGGCTCTGCACTGGACTCTTTCAAGCAATTCCCTGTCCTTCTTGACCTGAGGGCCCAGAACTGAACACAATATTGCAGATGTGGTCTC